TTTTATTATTTATACAATGTTACATATATCAGGAAAGGTCTCGCATTCATACTCACCTGTACTCTCAGACAAAAAGGTAAAGCTGTCACTCGAAACGTAAAGGTACATATTAGTATATAAAGTGTACATAGGACCTTTTAGCTTTTGTACCTTAGGATACCACCACCCAGCTGACAGCTTTGTACCTTTTTCTCTGAGTGTGATTGCTTCACCTCTAATGTATGAGTTCAGCGGATCTGAAGCTGAAGTCGTAACAAGGCCGCTGTAGTAGGTCGTGTAATCTGTGAAGATTAGTGAGAGCTTTTACAGTTCTGATGTAATCCCACGTCCAGTGATGTGCTAGTCTCGCCATGTGATGCTCTGTAGCACTACTTATTAAAAAAGTTAGTGTAATGGCTGTTTATGCTCAAACATCAGTGTTTCTCTATCCTGCTCATAAGAGCCAATGCTGTGTTTTTCATAGTTCAGGTCATATACGGCTCCACTAATGAAATGATGAGTGTGTTGAATGATTAAACGCATTAAATGAAATGGAGAAACGCTGGTCTGAATCTGTTGGTATTCAACCACAGGTTTGTTTTCTTTCAGTTTAGTTTGTTCCTCAGGTCCATTGTGGCTGCATTTTTCCTCCTGTACGTGATTTCCTTCCCTCTGTACCTTTGGCTTCCTCTTGTCATTCTTCTCTGTGGACTGGACTGTTGACACTATATGGGCCTTGTTGTGGTTTATTCTTCCACATTCTCCGCAAGTTCTTATAACACATGAATCATGATGCATGAGGCTTTTCATTTTCAAATACTTTGCATTTTACAGCCATCGGGCCTGGAGGGCAGTGGAACAACAAACTGATCTCTTTCTTACGTTTTTCATTTCATATATTATAAATATAATAATCACACATTAAAAACAATCACTCTCACTTTTACTATTTGCAAACTGTGTATACTTGCATAATAAATCATGTGGTGCTGTGTATATTTTTATAATGCTTTATCGTGTAT